CCCCCTCCCTACCAACGAAACGCTGTCCCTCCCCGCCCCGCAGAACACGCATCCGGACGCTCGCGGGAACCGATCCGCAGGGGTCAAGACCGAGCTAACGACTCGCAGTTTCCTAGTCAGAGGAGCGTTCGCTATCCTAGAAGCACAAACCACAACTCCTGCAGCTTCTGGCCCGTGCAGGGTCACCCCGCTCCGCTCGTCATTCCCAACTGCTCCGACAGCAGCGCCTTAAGCGGTACAAGGCCCGGTAGGCGCGGGGTGCTTATCGCCCCCGGCAGCCCTGGCGTAGCACGGCGCTTCGCTTTTGTGCCCGGCGACAAAAACGGTAGAAACTCTGAAAAAGAAGCAGAGCGAGAGTTTGGTGTTGAAAAAACGACGCGCGACGTGACGACCGCAAAGAGGAGAGGGAAGGGCAGCGATCGCTGCGGCCTCACGGTGAAGCGGGATACCATCTCCTTGCCCACCGGGACCAGAAATCTGCTCCCGCGCATGGGCCGGGGAATCTGATCCGTGCTGGGAACACGATGCCAGCAGGCCGGTAACACAGCGTGGACGGGGAGTGGGAACGCGATGCCGGCGGGCCGGTAACACAGCTCTCCGGTGGCAGCAAAGCAGAGCCGGTCGGATCGTTACCTGCGGCGCCCAGAGAGCAGCACCTTCGCGTTGGACGGGGACACACACCACCGCCAAGGGGGGAACCTGCCTGGGACCCAGCGCACCCCGGCACGGTAACCCCGCTCGGCTCTGCCAGGCGGCGCATCAGCCAAGGCTTTGAACGGACCTTGGACAGTCCTTGGGGCTGTGGGAGCTGGTGTTTGGGGTTGTTTTGTTTGTTTAAAGGCAAATTTACACCTTTTTCAAGAGGTGCTTTGAAAGGAAGGGAACAGCTCTGCCGGCAGCACCTCAAAGGCAGAGCAAACCCAGGTACCCGATGGTGACCAGTGACACAGGGGGCACGGCCAAATTTGGCCAAAGGCCTTCACAAATCAGGTTGAAAAAAAATCAGTTTAACATTAACGAGCTGCAATAAATTCATCAAGAGCCAGAGGGAAGACGTTTCACTGCCAGAACTTTATTGCACCACGTTCAAGCGCTGAACAGTGCTGTGCCCACTGGACATCGGCCGCAGTTACACCCCCGGGGCTGCGCCGACACCGCACGCCTCTGCGGCTCCCGCCACCTTCCCTCAACTACGGCTGCGGAGCGGCAGTAAATGGAATCCGAGTAAAACCAGGGGGAATAACGCAAGGTGATGGGGAGGGAGGCAGAAGTCGGCGCGACACCACAGCCAGAGCCGGGCGCGGAGCGAGGTTGCGGAGCGCAGTTTTCCAGCAGGTCTGTCGGCGCACGGGCAAAGCGAGGGGCCTGGCCAGCGCCGTCGGCTTTCCCTCGAGTTTGTAAAGAGCAACCAACGCAGACCTTTGGTGCCCCACAGCACGATCGCGGGAGAGTGTGACCCCAACCCCGGGGCAGAGACCCAGCGGCATGGGGAACGCTCAGGAGGGCACCCACCACCCTAACGTGCGCGGCAGAAGCCCCCTGGCAACACCGGTGGCCGTACAACGGGAACGCGGTGCCAGCCCACGCTCCCAGAGTCCGCACGCTCATGGGCTGCCACGGCAAATACACGCCAGGCACGCTGGGGTGGAAGCAGCCTCCCTCCAAAGAAACCCAGTTAAAAAAAATCCCAGGGCAACGAGTGGTTAAAGCGAACCCTGCGCGAGGGGGAGGCGGGGAGAACACCCACACCAGGCACCCGGTCCCGAGGCGCGTGCATGTCACCCTCACCTCACGGATGACAGGAATGCGACCCTCCCCCAGTGCTATCTACTGTGTTCAGCAAGGCAGAGAGTCTGGACAGCAGCAAAAAGCCTTTTCTTCCTCCCTGTGACAGATAAATGAATTAAAGTCCTTGTGTGAATGGCCCCTTGCTCACCCAGGACACTCCCGACCACCAGCCTTCTGCCGGGGCACATTTTCTACCGAGCAACTGAAAGACAATTAGCATTTCAGCCAAATTCTTCAGAAAAATAAGACTGACCCACACACAGACCCACACACACTCACACAGCTCAAAGCACCATCTCCCGCCCGTCAGGGAAGGCCCTCGGCGGGTTCAAAGCCGGCGAGTCTCCGGCTGAAGCCCACCAGGAAGACTTCCGCCCCCGCAGAGGCCCAGCACGGCGCAGCCACACACCAGACATCAGCCAGTCGCTAGAGCGTGCCCAGGCTGGGCTCAGCGCTGTCAGACCGCTCCCCTAGGGCAAAGGCTCCTCCTCGCGACTCCGCGGGGTCCCGTCCGGGGTGGAAGGCGGCACCCACGCTCAGGAGCGTCCCACGGGAATGAAAGGCTCGGCCCTAGCTGCGGGGCGCTTCCTCAAACCCAGAAAACAGTTCCTGCACAAGCCAGTGCTCTGCTGGTTTTCCTTAGACATAAAATTTACTTTATTTCTTTCCTTAAAAAGTTAAAAATACAGAAGGTTCAGAAACTGAGTTTCTCCTTGCAGGCGTTCCAACCGCAGCTGCAGAAGGCAATCCTTCACTGAAAGGTTTCTCGGAATTCCTCCGGTTTCATCTGTGTTTTCTCAATCACCACCACCATTAGGACAGAGGCTGCGGAGCCCTGACTCCACCACTAACTTGATGACGTAGTTTGATTCCAGATTCACATTTCCAGGTGCCAAGAGTCCAGAAAACAGCCATGCCAGCTTCTGCCTTCGTCTGAGATTTCCTTGGGGTTTACTGAACGCAGCAGTGACCGTTGGCGTCTTTGAAGCGTAATCGCATCTTAGGTCGGTATTTCTCAAGGTAAAGCAGCTGTTTGGAATTGAAAGCTCCCCTCCTTTTCCTGAAACAGAGAGAACGAAGGCCGACATCAACGGCGGGAGTACTGCCTCAGTCACCACGCACATTCCGAGGCGGGTCAGCCCTCGTTTCACAGCTTTCCTGAATCCATAAACCAGCGTTTTGGCTTGGTTCCCTGAGCGCTGACGCTTTGAGGAGAGACAAGGCAGGCCAGCACATGCAGTGCATCCCCTACATACTGAAATCAAAACCCTGTTAGGAACCTTCAGCGTGTTTCCTTGGATCGGGAGAGTTTACTTCCACGGCCAGCAGCGGTCACCAGATAACGCCAAGGTCACCTGCTCCCTGGGATTCACGTGCTACTTATTATATTAGTGAAGACCGTGACATTCAGACACAAGTATGTCAGAGGCTCTCAGAAAAGAGCTTCTCAGTATGAAAGGGACACACCCAGCAACAGAAAAAGGGAATTTAAAACTAAAAAAAAAAATCCAGAGAGGCCTGTTGACAGCAATACAGCTTACCAAGATAACCAGAGACCCTGGGAATCTGTACGAGGATGAATCGCCCCTTTGGAAAAGCTCATCCAACGTAATCTTACCTGCTGGGCTTCATTTCAAGAGCTGATGCTATCGCCAACAATGGAGCTCTGCAGCCTCATCCTTCCCCAGCTGGGCTGTTTTCCAGGCAGGGGGCTGGCCGGCCTCTCGGGATGGGTAACACCCACCCACAGCACCTGGGGGAGTGCTGGTGCCCACCTACGTGCTGCAGGAAACCTGCTGGGGCCCAACCTCATTTGGATTCCTCTCCTTTTAATTAGGATGAATTAGTACACGTTCAATTCACTCATGACTTTTACAGCCCAGGCGTTTTTGCATCCCAGGTTCAAAATCTTTTGAGACTGTGGTCAATGCCAAGCCCAGAGTTGAAATCCAGGGAGCGACCGCCTTCCAACCCTTCCCTCCCACCACAGGACAGGGCAGAAGCCACAGCATCCGCGTCCGAGTTGTGCCCGTTGCTGTCAGGATGCAGCTACCAGAAAACAAGCCACTGTTCAGACACAGCGCAAACGGATTCCTCGGGAGCGGGGAAGTTGAACTTACTGCCGTATAAACTGAACTGCATCTTCGTACTTCATCCCACATTCAATGAGAGCAAGTGCAACCAGAACAGGAGCCCTGAAGGAGAGAGCAATACTTATGGAAGATCTGGAGAAACAACGTATTAAACCCCACAAAATACATGGAATTAATCTATAAGCAGGTATCTCGAGCGTTTTCCCTCTAAGCGTTACCTACAGAAAGACATTTGCCTGCTGAGGACCCACTGTAAAAGTTCTTGCGGTGACAGCTCCGATTCCTGCACACACACAGAAATGAAAACCAACAGCTCCCGAGCGTTTGGGGCATGGAAGAGTAATTCTGCAGTTTTACCCTTTCTCCTTTCACTACACCCTAATTTTCTACTCTGCCAAAACAAGTGTGTAATACACCCCGCATGCATCCTGCCGCTTCTACCAGCGGTTGTGAGACATCTACGAACAGCTTTACGGGGATCGACTGGTCTAATCTGCCGAATAGGGCGCCCCCGGGCCAGAGTAACACCCTCTGCTTTGGGATCCGTGCCTTGGAAGCGGGCTTTCCAAACCAGCGGAGAGCACGGTATCCTCCAGGCTTGACGTCACCCCGCTGCATGCACGGCTGCGGCAGGCACCGCGGAGAGCAGAGCGGCGAAGGGCTATCTGGGGCGAGCGAGCGGAGAGCCTGCACTCCCGAACAAAAAACACAGTTCGGGAGAAAAGCGGCGACGGTGCCACGCTGGGCCCTCGCGAACGGAATCACCCGCTTCCCAAAGGCGGCGATCGAAACCCCAACATCGGTTTAACAACAAGCTGCGTCTTTTTACTGCTGTTCAGGTTCAATTCCCTGCTACCGGTGAAGTTTTCCGGCTTACAGCAAAACCCACAAAGCTCTTGCTTGTCCCTCTGTCCGAGCAGAGCAGCAAAAGGTCGCTCCTACAGGCCAGAGAGGAGCTTGTGATGCAGAAGATGGGGGCTTTGGCCTGGTGTTATGCAAGAAAGAGCGCTGAAAATCACTTGAGTTACACGTGGCCACCTTCCTAAAGACGTTCCTCGGATAAAAATAGAGCAGAAATGGATAAACAAATGTTCACTGCCTTGGGGTTTTGGCTCTCGTGTCTTTAAATATTGGCTGTTTCTCCCTCTACCTCTGCACTTCCCCCCTCTCCTCTAGAGATGGGAACACAAGAGCCTGAAGCACTTGACTCTGCTTGACCTCCTCAATCACCTTTCCTGCCCGCTCACTCATACCCTTAACCCTCAGCAGCCCGTGGTTACTGCAAGAACACCAACACCTCAGCTCCCTCCCCCCCAGCCCATAGGATAAATACAGCTGGGAATACGGACGTCGCATTCCGCTCCCCCAAGTCAGGCTTTTGGAAAATTTCGTCTTGAAAGGGAGCTCTTCCCCAAGGAGTCAGTCGTACTTTGAGTGGGGAGGACGGGAACATTGCTCTGCACACGAGCAAGAAATACAAACCTACCTCTTCTTGCCCCAGACGCGAAGCCACTTCAGAGGAAGAAAGTGATTGAACCAGTTTTTCTAAATGCCTTGTTTTATGACCACATGCTCCACAGTACGCCAGCTAAAGCCGGGAGGGACAAACCAGCCCAACCCCAGCCTCCAGAACTGTACCATACGTGGGTATCGCCTGTCAAGAGGCACAGGGGTTTCACTGCTTTCACAGGCAGATTCACACTCTCAAATCAATCAACGCTCGTGTCGTCTGTGGCACACAGCAGTCCCCTGACAGCCTCTCCAGGATGTTCCTCTCACCCGTGATCAGTTATGAAATCAACGGAGATCTTTAAGCCTCACTAACTCTCTCCCACTTTACCGACACAAACTTGGTGCTGCTGCTTTAAGGTGTTCGCTGGGAGAAACCAGAGAAGCTGGCATGTGCGTAACCCCTCTCAGGACCCCCCTCCCGAACACAGAAACCGCTTCACGGCCAGCGCAGATGAGAGCGGAACACCAACCTTCCCAGCCCGGCGACGCAGTGCACAGCGACACAGCAGCCCGGCTCCTCGCGAAATTTGGTTTTCAGCAGGTTTAGCCAGTCGTCAACGATCTGATTCGGGGGTGGTGCTCCATCATCAAACGGCCAGTCCTTGGGAGGAGAAGAGGGACACAAGCTATAGGGATTTCAATCCGCAGCCAGCAGCGAGGTGCCCTTCGCTCGGAGAGGGAAAGCACCCCGTTCAGCCTGAAGTGCTACTGCACACAGGTCGGAGCTTCTCCGCTCGCACACACGTTTGCCAGTCAATATCATAACACCACGCTAAACGTTTAACAACCATTTAATTGCACTTTTCAATAAAGCTCTACACTAACTCCTCTGCAGTATAGAATTTTTAAAAAAAATAGCTGCCCTTGAAGTCTCATTTTGTTAAAAATATGTAAAAATCAATAGACATTTCAAATAAACATCTGAAAGATGAGAACTCGTCAGCCTTTCGCCTGTGGTTGTGTCGGCCTGTTACATCGCTCTGTATCGCAGACGAGAAGCTGCTTCGGAACGATTCAAGGGGATCGGCAGAGAAGGTACTTCCTAACAACCCAAACGGAGCCGCCTGGCCAGCTGCCAGGAACCCAACCAGGCAGCTAAAATTACCCGTGTATTTTCAAGTCACAAACTTCACACTCACAAACAGAAGAGTGCTTAAACAAAGATGAGGGCAACCACCAAGCAGCGTTTACAGCTACTTTCCTGCCGACCGAAGGGGTTGCCAACATCCAAACCACCCAGGCCACACTGAGCATCACCAACGTGGCCATCAGGCCAAATTCCAGGCAAGAAGCTTCCCATTTTCTTGAGGGCACAGCTCTCTCCCGGAACTCGTGCGAAGTGGAGTACTACATGTCCTGTATTTTAAGCCCCAGCACATCACATGCTTTATAATCTTCTGGGACGTGGGGAGCGCTGAAGAAAGCCCTCCCAGACGCACGGCAACACAAATAGCCCTTGGTAGCTATTTAGCACTTCTCATTAGACAACTGCCGAGCGTTTTACAATGGAACTCATAGCCAGTGTCCTATTATTCAACCACCTCTCCAAATGATGGGAAAGCGGCTTTCAAAGGAGACCTCTTCTTCTCTCCCTGGTTGGAAATAACCTGTTCTCAATAACACTACGCAACAGACTTAGCACGAAGTAATATCCTGTAAAGCAGCATGAAGAAACTCTGATTGAGTAGAGCCAAAGGTAAAAAAACGCCAGGCTTTTCACTCTGAAAAGCTCTTATTTGTGACACCAGTGCTGCCTGATTAGCGGGTAGAGCTTGGCACAGCCCTGGGCCCGAGAGCACCCTACAAATGTGCTGGCACTCCAAGAAGCTGCAAGGTAGAAACCTCCTTCCCAGAACTACAAAGCCAAGAAGCTTTTATGTTACTGAAATAACATTATATGCGACTAATTCAGAAAGACAAAGTCTGAAGAGTGCAGAGAACTTCTTTAAAGCAAACGGGAAATTAAAATATCTGGGACAACATATAAAAACACAAGACTATAGACACAAGATCCTAAAGTAAAACTTGTTCTTTCTAATAAAAGGCTTTTATAAGATTTTCCACTCAATCCCCCACTGCCAGCTGCATTATTTCAGGCCCAGTGTCATCCACTGACCCAGGAAGAGATGTGTGGGCTGCCAAGAGAAGAGGCATTGCCCACTGCAAAGAGACTTTCATCTGAAACTGCCCTGCACACAGCAGGATTTACAGGCCAGTTCCCCCTTCCCGGTTTTGGGTTAAATTAAACCCTTTCCTTCAGACCAAATTCAGGAGGTTTCCACATTGCTTTAGCTTACATTAACCATCGTGTCCACACAAACCTTGTGCTGGCATGAGCTAACGACAATTGCCATTTCCCCACGGAGCATCCCTTCCCAGGAATGCTACACCGCTGCCACGGAATCAGCACCGATAGAGCACTGCCCGGAACGAGGAATAGGAATAATTCTGGGACTAGAGGTATAACTGCAGCAGTGTGCTGTGGTTATTTTCCTGATTACGAGTTCTGCCAGCATCACCTCCGAACTCCTGTCAGACAGGGCAGAAAACAAATTGCTGAGCTCCACAACCAGCAGTCGTTAATAACGGGGACGATGCACCACGGCTGCCCAGACAACAGCCCTGCTGTCACTGCAGCAGCGGGAAGGATAGGCCAGAAAGGGCTGTTTGGTTCCACCCGTGACCTGGAGCGGCCTCACCCTGCGGAACAGCTCTGGGTTTGTCGGGCCTGGCCGTGCAGAACGCAGACAACCTGGGAGCAGTTCCAGGCTCTGCAGTGACCAAGAACCCTTTCCTCAAAGCCCAAGCGCAGCTTGCTCTGAAGGCACAGCAGTAACGCGCTCCCAGAACTGCCTGCACGCGCGCAGGCGGGACCGCAGCCACCAGCATGGAACCTTCCCTCCTTCCACGGCAGAGCTCCCAACACAGGAAATACCGCACCTCGAACAGCAGCGCTCCCGGCTGCCTGCCGACGTTCGGGTGGTGGCCGTGCCAGAGGGCACAGAGCGCAAAGGAAGTCCTACCCGGGGATGGACAGTAAACGAAGGACCGATAGAAAGACCAATGAAGCGTGCCTTACATTCTGAAAAAGAAGAGAGATGGCAGCCTCCTTGCTCGCTAGCCAGTGCAAAACCACTTCCAGATAAACCCCGGCCGTTTCTTGGCTGCAGCGCTTCTGCTACAAGACCTCACACATGAGCACAAAGCACCGCAGAAGCCCACAGACACCAAATCCATCCCCACCTCCAGCCTCCTGGATTTCATCTCTGTTGATAAACATGTGCGTGCAATAGTACTACTTCAGACAGGGAACATCTAACTCCCCGCTCCCTCACTACGCCATCTGCCACAGCTCCTCTCTAGCTGCCACACTCTGCCCATCCTGCCAGCACGCGATCCCCTGCCGCGGCGGGAGAGCCGGCTTTCCTGCAACGCTCTCATCTCCAGGGCTTTTTGCTACGCTTCTGACCTCCACAGCTTTAAAAGAAGACACTAATCTCTCCCAGGCTGTGTTTTTAATTTTACTGGTAATTTTGCAAGCCAGTATTAGCTTTCAATAGCGACGCGTTATTTGCTCAGCCAGCTGGTGATTCAATATCGCTTCCGAGCAGCCCCAGGACTCAAACGGCACGCGTCCATAGGGCGGAAAAGCTGTGCAGGAGGCGGTCGTGTCGGTGGCAAGTTAACTTATCTCCAGCAGCAAAACACCGCTGCTACACAGCAAGCTGCGACGGCAGGCTCACGGCTGGGAGCAGCAGGCCCAGCGCTGACACTAGCGGCGAACCCTCCCCGTTACCTCCTGCTTTCTGTAGATCTACGCTCTTGCCTGTTTCACCTCCTGCGGCGGCGGAACACGAGGAACCACCGCTACGTCCCAAACGCAGAGAGGCTTGTTGGCGAGGCAAACGCGTACAGACACGAGACTCGGGCAGGTGTCACTGGAAAGGCTCTCCAGCAGAGCTGTGCTTAGCAGAGCTGGTGGAAACAGCATTTCCAGTTTTTAGAAAAGCTTCCTCAAAAAGCTGCTTTCAGTTCACACCTCGCCAGCACCCAGATTTTAAAGTTTCTTGAGAACTGAAATCCCCGTTGTTTTGCAGAAGCGCAGGCTCCAGGGCACAGAGCCCGCTGCTCCTGCAGCTGCCCCGGAGGCCCCGGCCATGGACCGGAGAAGGTGGATTTGCCCAGAGCTGCAGGGGCCAAGGGCAGCCAGCCTCACAGAGCAACCCCTGGCAGAGCAGGACACCAGCAAAACTGCCCCAGTCTTCTAGGAAGAACTCGGATCTCTGCCCTGGCATGGGAACACAAAGACTCTAAGCCTCAGCTTAAACCAGGGCGCTGAGGGCTTTGGCACCAGACGTTTAACCCTTCGAGTCCCTGGCAACCTCAGGGAAACTGCAGCTAGAGGTTTCACAGCAGCGTGCCTGAAAACGCCATGATTCCAGCTCCAAGAGAGCTCCAGAGGGAACAAACCCGCTATTCCCGAGCGCAGCCCTAGGAGCACTGGTAGACCTGACTGATTTTTCCAACAACACTGAGGAACACGTGGCTGCCTGGAACTGGAGTAAATGCTTACTGGGGCTGGAAGCCAAGAAACCTGACTGACCTGTAGGTGGGGTTTTCACAGATATGCCAGGATCCAAGTTTTTCTCCTAACGGAAAACTGCAGTTCTCCTCCAACCAAGCCATAAAAATCAAAGGCAACAAAAGACTGACTACCTGCAGGAAGGTGTTAAGATGCAATTTCTGGCCTCACAACAGAGTATTAACTCACACCAGTAAAATAAACTGATTATATCTGACACACCGTAATAACTCCGAAGTACTGCCTGGAAAAATACCGCCTGCAAGCTTAGCACGAGCACACACCTATTAAAAAAACCTCCTCTAAACCACCAAGCAGTACTGGACAAGATGGTCAGTCGTTGCATAACGTTCACTGCGAGCAGCAGCAAAGGAATTCCCCCAGCTGAGCAGGGCCGCCAGCAGCAGCCAGGCTCCCCAGAGAGGCGAGCAGTGAGGGGGCTACCCAGCCACACATGCTACAGCCCACCCATGGAAGCCTCGGCCTGCGTGTCTGCTGCAGTCTCTAGAGGTGGCACTTTTGAGAGAGCAAGAGCAAGGAGCTTTATACGCCTCCCGAGAGGCAGCCAAACTGAGACGTGCTGTATCTGGAGAAGAGGCCTAAACCGGGTTGTACAAAACGCAAGGCTGAACTCTGGATAAAGTGTCCAACCAGCCACTGAAAGGCCCTGCAAATACCTCAACAAATCCAGAAATCACAGAATCCCAGAAGGGTTTGGGTGGGAAGGGACCTTAAAGCCCACCCAGTCCCACCCCCTGCCATGGGCAGGGACACCATCCACCAGATAGGTTGCTCCAAGCCTCATCCAGCCTGGCCTTGGACACTCCCAGGGATGGGGCATCCACAGCTTCTCTGGGCAACCTGTCCCAGTGCCTCCCCACCCTCTCGGGGAAGAGATTTTTCCTGATATCCAGCCTAAAAAAGAGGGACGGACATTTCTATTCCCATCGCGCTCAGGCAGTCGTGATGAATCAGCCGGTACCTTTCACAAACGTACAGGGCCTTTCTCAGAAGCAGCTTTAGGTGATGCTGGGGATCCCACTGCTCTTGGCCGGTCTGAAACAGCTGGAAGCCCTTGCCCAGAACTTGAAGGCCATCCCCACCCCTCCTAGACATGTCATTTTGCATTTTTTAAAACAGTTTTAATGGCAACTCACTAGAACCTGGATTCCTTCTTTTTCGATAGGGGCTTGATCATAAGTGGCATCACAAACTCGCACCAAGGTGGTCACTCCGTACTTCTTCAGCTCCTTCAAGAAAAAGGGAGACAGGTTAGCATGCTGACCGAGTGAACGACTGAATAACCTTCTCATCAGTGGTTAAACTAAACATTTTCCGCAGCCAGGACTGGTGCACAGCTCCAAGGTGAGCACACAACAAGGGGAGCAAGGGCCAACTCGGGAAGGGGACTTTGTGGCTCGCTTTAGGACAAGGGTGACAAGTTACAGGAGTAAGTGTGAGACACCTCTGAGTTATTCTTCCCTAGGCAAATGCCAAGGTGGAAAAGAATCGCGTGTATAAGAGCAAAATTAAAATAGCTGTTTATATTCCCCATGCAGCTTCTTCTCTTTAAATAGAAGCCTGGAACTGTTTGCCTCAGCCAGTGTTGACATTCTGAGCAGGGAGGAACAGAACACACCACCATACTCCAGCTTCCTTGTAATGCACTATAAGTAGCACATTGTGCCAGATAAATAATCAGAAGATCAAACAAAAGCTGTTCCAGTTCACTTTGAAGGTTCACACCACAAGCAGAATTTCCTCTTGTGTGTGGACTGAACCACTGTAACTTCTAAAAATTAGCAATAATATAATCCAGAGTCAAGGCTCCTGAAAAAGGAAGACAGTCTGCAATAATGGGAAAGATACATATAAAGACCAAAGGAATGTGCCTTTCAGACAAATTAACCACTAATATCTGAAGAGATTCATGAATAGCACACTCTGAGTGACGGAGGGCAGTCAGACACCAGTATCAGGTGACAGGATCTCTCTGGAATGCAGAAGACCTGCACATGCAAGATAAAAGGCCCCTACATGTGAGACAGGAAGGCACAGAGACACGGCAGGCTCTGACGAGACCATCTGTCGCTTTGTTCAGAAGGCTGAACAGCGAATTCTGCAGTATTTAAGATACTGCGTCAGTAACGGTGCGATCCAGCGCCCGGCGTAAGCAGCTCGGGCCTAGTCAGGCCCAGGCAGACGCCATTTTCCATGGACAGATTCTGGCGCCAGCACTCTCCGACAGCCCTGGGATGGGTAGGGCAGGTTACAGGATGTGTTAAGTCTGGCACTTAATCCTGACTCTGAGGGATAAGGAAGACTAGAAACCAGTCCCAGTCCTGCTAGCTACTTCTCCAGACGCCAGAAGTGCAGCGCTAGGTTGATCGATTAGCACGGCGTTATTTAAGGGAAAATGACATCTAGGATCCCAGAACGTGAGGTCCTTCGGAAACTGGGACAAGGATGGCAAGGTTGTGTGTGTGTTCCAACGTGGGAGCTCATCCAGCCTCCCACAACAAAAGTGCACCGGCGGATCCCCTCCTCACACCGGGAAGAGAAGGTGAACAAAACACGAAGATAAGAACACCCGAGGCGTCATGTAACACGGGCAAAGCTCCGAGCGACAGCTGTGGAAAACGACCATCCGGCACTCCCGCAGATGCCGCGAGCACACGGGGACGGAGCACACTGCCTTACCTCGATGAACTTGCTGAGGGTTGCGTTGGTTGGGTTGTGAGTGATCAGGAAACGCATGTTCTCGTACGTAATTTCCACGGGGGCTGGACGGTTCATAATGGCAACAAAATGTGTACGGGGTCAAAAAAAAAAAATCAATAACCTTGGAAACGTTTCACAGCAGAAAACATTAAAAAGACCACTAAAATGCCTGGGATTGATCAGAGCTTGCTTTGACGTGTTTGTTCCTTAAAGAATTCACTTCTAGAAAAGCAGGTTTGCTTCAGAATCCGCTCAAATTCCACTTCGGCCTCAATTACTGCAGGTGGTATCCCTTCAGACTCCACAAATTCTGACTACATGCAAGACTAGGCAGCCTGTTCTACATTTAGGCACTGGTGAGGCAAAAAAGTAAGGGCAGATTTTCTCTCCACTTTGTTTTCTTGATTCTTAGTTTTGCTAGAGTCAGTAAAAGGAATATGCTTCCAATGTGCAGAAGATATCCCATATATTTGAGTGTGTCCACTGTGTCTGGAGTCTTCAAGGCAAAGTAATTATGGCACGTCAAAGCCCCTGCGCTCAGCTCACTTGTCAGCCAGGGTGCTGTGCTGGGCCTGGCAGAAGTCTGCCCTCACGCTCAGAATCGCCATAAATGTGCGACGTATATTCCACCAGAACACCTAAAGAGAGGAAAAACATCACGTGAGAGGAGCCGTTGATTCCACTTCCAGAAACACCATATATTGACCCTCCCAGAGAAACTCAGATCAGACTAGAGAGGAATATGTTTAACAAAAATCGATCTTCACTGGAGTCCCAGGGGTTATAACCCTGAATATTCTTCCGGCACTGAGTGTGCTCCAGCCCAGAGACATGGGACTTCTTGTAGGTGCTGCTCTGGGCAGGCACCGGCACCAAGGCCGAGGAACCCGTCTGTGCTCTCGGCGGCCTCTCCCTCCCAGCCAGGCGCCCCAGAAGAGGGGAAGACAGCACAACGCCAAGCACACGCTTCACGGTGCCTGATGTAGTCACACCTCTTAATCTGCGTGGTCTTAGCCCAAATACACAAAAAATACTGTCGGTATGGCGTTATTTTTTTGAACAAAACGAGCAGCACAGGCAGAAATAGGAGTATATCTGCCATGTATTTGAGCTTTTGCTAGCAGGTGAATCTTAGCAACGTTTTTCTATCACCAAACTCCCAACACCAGAGAACCTCCAGAAATGGGTCATTTCAACAGCAAACAGTCATTTCCCAGCAGTAACTTTCAGTTATCCTCAGTCGTGCCTGTATTTAACAGACCAGGGCGTAAAGAGAGCAGCAGCTTCCAGTCTGGACAGGCAGAATACAGATGTTTTAGTGACAACAGAAAATGCAATTCTACCACAAGGTTTAGGGGGATGAAAAGGGAACTAACCCAAACTGGCTCAACTCGTTTAAAGGCCAAAATACTGAACACACACACAGCTTCTTGCTGCATTTAGAAAGCACGAAGCCCAAGAGCCACTGCTGACGCCTCCTTTCGAAAGAAAAAGGTTCTACATCAATTGAGGAAACTCCGACCTGGCAGCCAGGAGCCACAGACCTGCAGCGCAAGCGGAAAGGTCAACGTGGCACGCTCCAGAGAACATGGCTGGGGAACACACGCACGTGGAGTTCACACCCCGAGCTTCCGATGCGCTCAGCACTTTCCCGAGATCCTCTCTTTAAAACGCTCAAATTAAGTACTACAAAATCACCTTTTTCACTGACACGAAGTCAGAAATCACCCAAAGAACAGCAATTATTTCCTTAAAGAACAGCTTTCAATGCCAAAAACCCACTAATTAGGCTGCCAGAGGCAAGAACAAAGATGTTTTCAATAACCTCCCCCGACCTTAACACAGTCCCTACCCTGAGCGACTGAAATCCAAGTTTCAAAAATGAGTCCCGGAATGTTCCATCGGTGTAAGGGCTCCAGGAGCACGTCTCATCCTGGATGGAAGAGCCCCACCTAAACACGTGATATGCAGGCCCCTAGGCCTGTCACAGGCCCCATATACAGCAAACCTCCAAGCAAGGGCTCCGTTACGTCAGTCTGCCGTAGCGGTGACGTGGCGGGAGCGGAACGGCTGGAGCTCCAGCACCCACGCGTGTCCAACGCCTGTCAAACCCGACGCAAGAAAGCCTTTTCCCAGGCAAATAGGCCTGGTTCTGCCCCTTCGAACACACGCCCCAGGCACCCAACACGTCCTGGGGAGCGACCTGCAGATTTACACGACAGGAGTGGTTTCAAACCTAACGCTTTAGGACCTAGCAAGGTCAGTTAACTAAACGCAGCGGTCAGCAGATCTTGGCATAGGAGATCAAAGCGTGAATCTCGAGTGCCAGAGGCTGACAGCATTACAAAGTACACTGCTGCGAGGGGAAGAGCTATTGTGTCTTAAACCCTTTAAACATTCTTCTTTTCAGCACCAATAATTTGGTTGGAAGAGCCTCATCCAGTGCTATTTGCACTGTGAGTTGGATCAGATCAGGTCATTATGGTTACACTTCTCCTCCCTCAAGCAAACCAAAGGGGAAATTTCAACTCAATTACGTTAGAAGTCTTTTGTAAAAACTATTTACCAAGTCATTAAGAAAGGACACACGGAGATGACACGCTCCAGCCAATTAAGGATGGCAGAGGGAGTCACCAGCACCAAGTCCTGCTCTCAGATCCGCAGCCGCTCGCGCTGTGACCTTGGCCAAGCCACGTTCAGTAGGTCGGCTCATCTGCGGAACGGGAATGACACCATCTTACCTTCCCCAAAGGAGTATCACCGAAGCATTTAATTACCTAATAGCTAAGGAGTGATTAAAAAATCGTAATGCACTGTATTTAAGCCTGAAAAATGATTTCCAGGAGGATAAGAAGTTTACGCAGCACACAACCCTATTTTTAAGTTTGGTTACCGACACATGTACCCCCTCCTCCCATGACTTTCACCCGCTAACTGTTCAGCTGAAGTTTAAGAACAGGGTTCTAGTTAAGAACATGAAAAACAGGAAAAACCCTGATGTCTACAACTTCTGATCTCCCCACGTAAACACTACACCTTCTTCCTCCCTGGGCCAGGAAGCAAATTCGCACTTCCAAAATCCCGAAAAGACTGAGTGCTATCAAACTGACGACAATAAAGAGTAACCAAGCACAACATAAGACAAGAAATCATTTTTCAGCCAATTAGCCTCCAGCTTTTTATACTTAGAAAGTGAGACAGCACATGGAGAGAAACCAAAAAATGACAACATGCTTTACGCTGGCCTCAGAAAGGGAGCAGAAGTATCCAACACGTCAACACTAGGAACGAGGTGCGACAGCTCCATTGGGAAGCAGAGCTGGAGAAAAAGCAGGGACCGCAGCACGGACAAGCCAAGCACCAACCCCTCCTGTGTCCGAAAAGGCCTAGATACGCTTGGGAGCCAGTTCCTGATGCTGTTTAACATGCCATTCGGCACAGCCAGGCTTAGTGAGCTGTGACAGTCTCTGCACCCACAGACACGACTGATTGAGGTGATAACTAGCAGCCCCGGGAGCTCCCTACCTCACACTCACACAGCCATTCCCGCCAAGAGCACCTGGCAAAGCCCAGCGAGGCCAATTTGAGCAGAATGTCTCTCCAAATGCTATCAGCATGCAGGAATATGCCGAAAATGTAAGCAAGGAGCAGCCCCATTAACTAGCACAAATAAATCAGTGTGATAAACTAATTAAGAGAGAACAGTTAAATGAATTCCTGGCTTGATAAAAGATGCCCTTGGATTGCCTTAAGTGGAAGTCCAACACACCTGCAATACTCATCTCCAGCAGCTGCCTCGTCCATCATCACACTGCTTCCTAAACCCGATGTGTCAACAGGGCAAGGGGCTGGCTCTCCTGCCCTGAGCCTACGCGAGTTCAGGGAGACAGGCCTAACAAAGCCCGAGCAATACCATCGTCGGGAATTCCTAGTTCCACTATCTCCCTCTAAACACACCAGCAGAAGCACTGCCTTCGCTACACCGAGACAGCAAAACAGCCTGCAACAGCTGCAGCTTCCAGAGATTGCAGAAGATGGATACCTCTGGAAAGGTCACTTGGATCGCCTTTCAAAACAACCCAGTGCACAGGATGCACGGCAAAGCCTGCTAATTTGTCAGCCCGTATTAAAAGATACTTCAGTGTTTTCAAGACTAGTATTTTCAAGCGGCTCAGATACGTGGGTTCCCCTTCCAGGACCAAAACTTCGATGCCAATGAAGTCGGGTCACGAGCTGTTGACTTTTTCCTCTCCTACAGAGCCTCTTCCTCACGGTGTGCACTCGCACACGTGAACGTACGCAACCCGATGCCATAAAAATCGCCGTTCCGATACGCCGCTGCAGCCCAGCCCGGCTTGTCCCAACGCTGGGTACGTCACGTTTCACTGCTCCC